ATCTCCTTCTTTAGAGCTCCGAAGGCAACATCAAGGCAAAGTGCAATGCATCCAGCTTGACTAGCTGTCTCTTTAATCATCTGTTGGGAAATCTCTCTGCACTCGTACACTCTCTCAATCAATCCTTTGTTCAATTGCAAGTGCAGTGCATCACAAGTGAAGGCTGTTGCTCCAGGGAGGACAATCCTGCAAGATCGGGCAATCTGGTCAAGACTACCACAACCATAAGGGTAAAGCTGATAATCCTGTTGATGCAATAAACAATGGATAAAGGCAATCGCTTGGCAGGCGAAATGTTGAAAATCATGAAGGCGGACTAAATACTCAATCCTAGAGCAACAAACAGGCTCATCCAGCAATCCTGATGTGAAGCAATGCTCTCCACCTATCAGGAGACTAAATCGTGACATGCCATGAATGCTCAAATGCTCATGCACGTGAATATCAGACTCAAGCTTCAATCTGACAACGCAATGCGGAGTGATCAATCCGTCGACGTGATGAGCAATGCTCGCCTCGCAAGCATGATCGCAGTCTTCAATGTCGGAATAAGCAGAAGCTTTCAGCGCATCAATATTCGCTTGACAATGCTCACAGATCTGATCAGAAGGTGTCAATCGCTGAAACAATACCCATGAATCACTGGTACGATTTCGACGGTGCCAAAAGTAACAATAACGATCGGCAAATGCAGTTGCAATCTATGGGGCGCAGACATGAAATCTCATGCCGCAATGTCCTTGGTCAATGGCGTGTCGATCGAAACGTAGTCTGTTCTGAATCATGCCAATGCTCCTTATGACAAGCAGTACACCGGCATGCGTATCAGTTGAGCAGTCGACATCGAACAGCCGCAATCGAACAATAACATGAGCAAAATGCAATGCATTCCTTGGAGAAAAATCATGAAAGTGAATGTCAATCCAATCCTTACAATCTCGGTCCCTCGGCTGGAGATGGCGACGCACGTGCACAATGTGAGGTAGCGCTCCTGGTACATGCCCTTCCCGTGGTTATTGAACAATGTCCACGGAGGCATGTACAACACAATCTATTAGGAGTCGCAACAACAAACCGCAACGCGCGTGCTCAATGGCAGCTTGTTGTACCAATTGTTTCCAGACGGCCGTTGTCTTATACGCTGGCATTGCCTGATCAAGTGGTACAAAATGGTTCAATGGTGCAACGATGAAATGAGCGTAACAATCCAAGAAGTACATGACCAATGGTGTTGCCAATGAATAGCAACCCTGATGAAGACCAGAGAATGAACAATGGTGATGGGTGTGAAGACACACAGACAATCCACCGAAGTGTTCAGAATGGAGCGACAATCCAGTGATTCGTGGCAATCGGAAGTAAAGCAATGACTTGTGCAATGGTCGATGACAGGTAACGATTTGACAATGGTCGAAGTACACCAGAGGCAATGTGCCTTGTCTTTGAGGCACAATCAAGCTCCAAAGATCAACAGTCAGGGTGACAATCCAAGGAACTTCGTCACAAACCGTAATCGCACACGAGAAACAATCACAACTGTCAGGAATATGAGCATCACTAGCGCAATCCTTCGTGAGGTCAGTCACAGGAGCAGTTATCTCTCTCTTCAATCCAATGTAGTGCAGGGTGCCCCTGCAATGGATAAAATGACTGTTCTCGAAATGACCAATGCAGTTGTTCACGTAAGTGCAACAGCTTTTTGCTGTTCCCATTCAACGCAGCACACATCGGAAAGAAGAGCATGAACGTAAATCACCCGTCACACGTTCTAGATTTAAGAGGTCTCATTTCCGGGGTCGGAAAGTGGGTCTAGTTTGCGGGCCTTCTCCACTTGGGGCTCCTATTTTTGGGCCTGAAATCGGGACCAGAAAACAAACCACGACATCGCCAAACCTAGGACTTGGAACCGGCTGCAAGATTGTGTCGCGCGGACGCTCACTCGGGTTCACCGACCCAACCCAACACGTACAGTTGCGGGAACTTGTGTCCACACTTCATGTGTGCCCGCTTTCCAGCTCCGAAAACTTGGCCGCATACGAGCCTCATGAGCCGTCGGAGTATGTACCACCCCCTCTCCCCCAATAGCAAGGTTGCTCTGGCATCTACAGCGCGCTTTGCACCAACGTTGCTTACGGGGTTCAGGGGGTTAAATGAATTAAAATTAAATGGAACCCATTTAGGAAATTTAGGACCTGAAGGAGCGTACAGGGGCTTGTGGTTTGGTCTCTACCCTTTAAGGGGATTTGGAGTCTCCGGGAAGCGTAGGAAAAACCCACAAAAGAACCTGGAGCGTTCACCAACTGAGCAACAAAATTGGACGGCAAGTAAGCTGCTTCAAAGCTTGTTTCAAGTCGCAGATGCTGGAGTGAAGGTTCCAAACCCAGGTTTGAAACCCAGGTTCTAACCCAGATTTGGAACCCGGGTTTAAAAACCCAGGTTTCAACCCAGGTTATAACCCAGGTTTGAACCCAGGTTCTAACCCAGGTTTGGAACCCAAGTTTAAAGCACCCAGGTTTAACCCAGGTTAAAACCCAGGTTCAAACCCAGGTTAAACCCAGGAGGGCAGGAGGGCTTCAAGGCAGGCCTAGGATTGGTTTGACGAAAGGCTTAGAGGAGGCCTGAGGAAGAAACCTGAAGGAGGACCTTCTTCGACACGAAAGGAGACGCCCACACGACGGATTTCGCGACTGGGACAATGACATCCTCGTAGAAATTTCTATCTCTCCCAGCGTCCTCCTAGCAGGCATGGATTTTGGTGACACAGCTGCATCCTGGTAACACTTTCTATGGGGAGGGTGTTCCAGCGCTCCACTCTGTGATAGCTACAGGCCTAAGTTCGAGACATAGGTCATAGGTCAGAATTCGGTACTTCGGAGCACTGTCGATTCGCGGGCCCACGGCCCGCAGCTCTGACGATCTTAGAAGCTCTAAAGTTTTTGCAAAACGGGCTTTAGAGGAACTTTAAGGGCGCGCCACTTGCCAGCAGCTGACGTGCACTCGCCAGCAGCTTACGAGCTACTTACGAGCCCTTCCAGCAGCTTACCAGCTACTTGCTGGCAACTTACGAGCACTCGCCAGCAGCTCACGAGCGACTTTCGAACCGCAACACAGTGACTTTCGAACCGCAACACAGCAGCTTGCGAGCGACTTAAGAGCTGCAGCCCAGCAGCTTACGAGCTACTTGCTGGCAACTTACGAGCACTCGCCAGCAGCTTACGAGCTACTTGCTGGCAACTTACGAGCAATTGCCAGCAGCTTACGAGCTACTTGCTGGCAACTTACGAGCACTCGCCAGCAGCTCACGAGCGACTTTCGAGCCGCAAACCAGCAACGCTCGAGCTGCTCCCACGCCCTCCGCGCCAACAGAGCGCGCGTAAGCGCGCGTCGCGCCCCAAACAGCTCCGGGGCACGACGGCGCGCCTGCAAACAGCTCGCGAGCTCCCTTCGCGCCCTCGAACTGCCTTCGAAGCCGCCCGCGCCCGTTTTGCAAGCACTTTGGAGCCCCTAAAATCGCGAGCCCTACGGCTTCCAGCCCTCAAAATCGACAGGCCCTCGAAGTATGGAATTCTAGCCTATGTCTCGAAACTAGCCTCGTAGCTACTACAGAGTTGAGAGCTGGAACACCCTCCCCAGAGAGAGAAAATCGCTATAAAAGCGCCCCGAAAAGCCCATTTGATGCATTTGATGCTTTTGATGCCCCTCCGCCCCGGCCCGGGCTCGCAGTGCTCCGCCCGCCTCAATGCCCGGCACAGCCGCCGCCGTCTATCCTAACCTACTCTACCCTAATTGGGCACGTCGGGCCGCGGGTCCGGGGCTGTGATCCCGCTTGCGGGTGAGCTTTGGGCTTGGTGGTGGACGGTCCAGCGAGTGGAGGTGGTGCCTGACTGTTCAAGGCTCAATTGGCGGTTCATCAATAACCGCCAGCCACCGATGAAGCTCGCGCCGGTCCGTGAGGCACCGGGGAGGCGTCCAAGGAATGGGGCGCCTCCGAAGCCTCACCGCAGGCCTGTGCGCCTGGGCGGGATACCCTCTCAGTCCCCTCTCCGGAGGGGGCTGTCGGGGAACGGAATGCTGCCCGTTTTTGCAGCAGCAAATTTTCAGATCTTCCTGGCTGTTCAGGTAGAGATCTAAGGCAAATCTTTATATATCTTCCTGGCTGTTCAGGTAGAGATCTCAACAGGTATAAAGGCAAATCTTCAAAGCTTCCTGCCTGGTTTTGTTTGCGCACAGCAGGTCTGGATTTTGGCAACTAAAGGCACAGCTCTTCGAATCTCTTGTGCCAGGTATAAAGTTTACTCGTGTACACCCAAAATACAGTCAATTTAGGCTTCAGGGTCGAGGGTTAGGGGCCTGCTAAAAGGTTGTATCGGTGCAGAGTTCAAAAGGTTATATGGATAAAAAGGACGATTTAGGGAAAGTGTTCAGGCTTGAGGGTTCAGGCTCAGGGTTGAAGGCGTTTAGGGCCCTGCTAACTTGCATACGATTTATAGGGAAAGTGTTCAGGCTTGAGGGTTTAGGCTTCAGGGTTGAGGGTTTAGGGCCCTGCTAAAACTGGTTTCATAGAGGCGCAAAATTGAAGAGGTGATATATATATATATATATACATGTGTGTATTTATTTGTATATATACATATATAGACCAGAAGCATGACAGAATAACGAAACCCTCAACAGAGCACAAACACACAAACAACAGACTGCATGACACACAAAAACAGACTCACCGACACACTGACAAGCAGACAGACAGACAGACAGACAGACAGACAGACACACACACACACACTCACCCTCTGTCTCACTCTCTCACGGCTGCTTCGTATTTTTCCTCTCTCTCATCGGTCGACCTCGCTCCGGGTTGCTTTTCTCTCTCGGTCCACTCATAGGTCAATCATCGTGCACGGCGAGCTTTCCTGGCACAGGAAGCTGATTGACAACTCTGGTGCACTGCAAAAGGTTCATGCCTTTCCTATGTCACACTGAGGGCTCCCTGCTTTTCATCAACCGTGCTTGCAGAACTGCAGGTGCAATGCGACACGGTATCGCTGGCACATCTTCACCTCAGCCTGTCCTGGCCTCTGGCCTCGTGCACAAGCTGCTGTGATTCGCTGAACCCTTCGCTGCTGATCCTCCCCGCTGAAGCACCAAACCTGTCTTGGATTTACAAACCGGGCCTGGAGTCCCAGATGCTGTAAAAAGTGTGACTTCTCCGTGTAATTGAAGAGCTTCGGATCATGGTCGCTGAAGTGCTGGGAAAGCTCCTTCTGAAGGAGCAAGAACCCAGTCATTGCGTCCCTAAATGCATTGGCATCTGCTGCGCTGAAGGCGAACTCAAATTTGTTGGTGTCTAACAGGTCCTCCGACTTCCAATTCAACTTCAAAAGCAAATGGAGCTTTCTGTGCCACTCGATGCCTGATGTCATTCGGGCGGCCCATATGACAAGTAGTGGCCTCGCCAGGGAGCGGATTTCCGCAGCTTTGCCTCGTAACCCCAAAGTCTTCTTTTGGGCCCTGAAGAACATGGATATCCTGTTCAAATACTGAAAGCGGGCATGGACCTGAAAGGCCTTGTAGTGCTCCTGGATCTGCGACCACAGCCAAGCCATGTTTGCTTCTGGGCTTCCAAATGTCAGCACTTGGAAAACCAGCAAATACAGCACTGCGGAGTATAGGAGCCTGTCAACCCCCAAGTATTTGCAATGCATATAGTCATACTCCAGGTTGCAGATGGATGTCCACGGCATGCCAAACAGTGGGCATGTGGACTTTTCCGCAGCCGGCAAAGCTTTCCAAACCACCGGGGAGTAAACACTGCTCATCCAATTGGCCGTCGGCCGAGAGTCCTGCCAGGACATGTCACCATACTTCGTCGCCCGGCAGCGACTGCACGGGGCAGCGGCCGATGTCGACTTCGCCACGTGCAACACCGAGTAATAATATTCGAGATCACCCACCACTGAAAAGAGGACTCCGCAGAAGCCCTGAGCCAGCGCTTTGCCAGCTTTCCGGCCTTCGGGCGAGCCCGGAGCATACCTGAAATGGCATATAAGGTGATCCTTACATATGCATGAGTATATATGTACTATATATATATATATATGAAGAAACAGATGTATGTGCGGTTCCGGAAGCCCGATCTGTAAACTGTACACCTTTCGGGCCTGTGTTGCATGAAAGGTCCTTTATTTGTGCTCGCATGTATAGACATAAACTTTACATACATACATACATACATACATACATACAAAAAGACATACATACATACATACATACATAGATACATATTTGCATACATACAAACGGATACCGAGTTTAGGGTTTCAGATACACGTTTTCGTGGGTCTACAAGTTATACTGTGCCAAGATTCTTTCGACCCAAGTGGTCAGCTGACGGCCACACACCTTCGAAGAGTGCCTGGAGGCTCCAAGCGAGCAGGACGAAGAAAAAAGTGCGCGGTTCCAGTCATATTTTTGGCATCCACTCTCACTCAATCCACCATGGCATACACATAAAAAAGCGAGTCAATGGTGGACGTGCTCATCGTCAGTAAGCTACACCAAGCAAAGTTTGTCACCGTCTGGACCCAGGATTTTCCCAGCCCAGTAATGGGAACACCGTCCCCGTGTAAGGCCAGTGGCACCAGCCGCCGCTTCCAATTTGCTTTCCGGGTCATGGCGGGTGTAATGTTCGGGTTCTTGTTCTCCACTATAACATTCCAAAACCGCTCCAAAGCTTCCACATTCGGACAGATGGACTTCTCCCACGTGGCCTTGTAGCTGGAAAAGATGGAGGAAAACAGGATGTGAGGAAGCATCACAGCCTGCAGCAGCATGTCCCAGGGGCTCTTGAAAGGAATCTTGACCAAAAACGGACTTGGAATCCGAATGCCTTGGGCAGCAGTCTTGTAAACTGCCCGGTATACCTTGTTGGCATACCTACCATGCGATCCTGCCTTCCCGAGCTTCTTCAGCTTTGTAAGATCTCGTTTCTCTTCCGAATCTTGAACAGCTAGATCTGCGATAACTTGTATGTCTTGGGCACTCATTTCGCCCCATGACCATTTCTCAAGAAGGTGTTCCGCCAAAAGGCTGCTGTGGGCCCCAGACTCCTCCGCTCTCATCTGCTGAATCCTTTGCCTCTGTCTTCCACTTCGTGCCCTTTTCCTGGATTCCATTGTGCGGTCGTCGGAGAAACTGCTCGCTGCAGTTGCTGCCTACATCTATATATATATATATATATATATATATATATATATATAGATACACAAAGCACATATATGAAATACATATATACATACAAGTTATACGTGTGCACACACACACACAGACAAATGAACAAATGCATATGCATGTACATTTCCTATACAAACCCTGTCAAGGATTCCGTATCAACCTTTCATTGTCATATGTACACATAGACACATCTATACATATAAGTATATAGATACGTCTATGTGTAAATGTCAATGTAGATACTTATCACAACATAAAGACCGGTACACTATCCTGAAAAATATGTTTGATTGTCTCTCTCTCTCTCTCTCTGGCTCACTCTGGCATGCCAACATGGCCACTGACCACGGGAGTGTTTGGACACGTGTTTGTTGTAAGGGTTTCTCAGGCAAAGGTTTTACAGTTTGGGCAAAGGTCCAACTTTTGTTCTTCTAGGCCAGTCGTGCATATGGTGTGGACCTCGAGAGAAAACAACTTCTCAACCCTGTGAGAGAGAACCTGCAAACCTTGAGAGTTTATAAACCTTGAGAGAAACAATCAGAAATAAGTACACCTTGAGGGCTCTTTAACCTTGAGGGAGCAAGAATGAACCTTTTGAGAGAAACAAAAGCAGAAACAAGTACACCTTGAGGGCTCTTCAACCTTGTGAGAGAACAAAACTTTGAACCAGTGTGCAGCTTGAAAGCCTTTTGACCTGGATGAAACCACACGGCCTGCAACTCTAAAGCCCTAACCCTTACACCTATATAATAAAACCCCAAACACAGAAAGCCTGGAGCCCCAGAAAGCCAAGTCTCGCATGTAATGAAATGTCCGGCACTCTACATGTATACTCAGATTCCCAAACCCTCCACAAAGCCCAAACCCTCCAAAACCCTATGTTTACACCGATGTTTTTAGATGGCACTGTGGAGAACTATGGCCCGATATACCAGATATGCATTATCAGTCTTGTGTCGTGGTATTCGGGGATTCTGCATTGCAACCTTGGTTCAGCCCGTCGACCTCGAACTTTACTGAAACCTCTATATCGCAAAAATATATATAGCCCTGTAAGCCTGAGCCGGGGTTTCGGAGTTGGGGTTCGGAAGTGGTGAGGTTTGGAGTTGTGTGGGGATTCGTAAAAAAGCGGTTTAAGGTTTGGGGGTTGAGGGACAGCAAAACACTACCCTACAAGTCTAAACCCCAAACCCCGTGTGGTACCTCCGCCCCGATCGTCCAGCATGGCCTGCAGCAAAGGATTTTGCACACATGAAAGGGTTCCGGGATCTTGGGTTTCATCTGTCGGCTAGGTTTGACTACATGCTTGAGTTCTAAGATCCTATATATAGACATATATTTATATATGTATATATAGAGGAAAATCTGCAAGACTCAGTTGTTTATTCCGCACAGCCAGGCATAGTGTATAGACATTTTGCTTATGTAGCTCTCTATATATATATATATATATACATATAATGATATATATGTATACATATATATATATATATATATATGGTTTGGCATTTCGGCTTGGCTTTGGAGTTGCTGTTGGGTTGTGTCACAGAGTTATAAGGGTAGTCTCCAACACTCAGGCGCTTTTACGGGGTTTGGAGGTTCGGGGCGGCTTTGGGGCTTTCACTCTTGAGAATCTTCAGTTTCGGCTCGGCTTTGGAGTAGGGCTGTTGTGGCTTGAGTTGAGTGAAGAATTTAAGCAAGTCTGAATCACTCAGTGGCCTTTAAACGAGGTTTCAAGGTTCGGGGTGTGGCTTGGGGGCTTTAACCGTGGCAAAACCTTATAAGTTTCGGCTCGGATTTAGAGTCTAGGGCTGTTGTGGCTTCAGTTGGACGATAATAAAAGGAAGTCTGAAACACTCAGTGGCCTTCATACGAGGTTTCGGGATTTGGGATGTGGCTTGGGGGCTTTAACCCTTGCAAAACCTGAAGCGGCGGCTCGGCTGTGGAGTATAGGGCTGTTGTGGCTTCAGTTGGGTGAGAATTTAGGGAAGTCTGAAACACTCAGTGGCCTTTATACGAGGTTTCAGGGCTAGGGGGCTTACAACAGCTTATAAACCCGCAAAAGCCGCAACACTCACGGTCGCCAACTTTCGCTTCTCTCACGGTGTGGCACAGACGATGTGCCGGTAGCTTGTGCGACTCTGCACAGAAATCCTGTGTGAGCTCTCCTGGTGGGTGGCTCTCGCAAAACGGATCACTGCTCTACAGCAGCAGCTCTGTAGCAGATGCAACCAAAAGCCTCGTGTGCGGCCAGCCAAAACACACCCGATCCAACTTCTCTTGTATGTGTGCAACCTTAGCAGCTATATCATGCCCGATTCTCGGTGTGCCGGTCAGCTCGCGAGCGATCCCAGGCTCAGGCCTTTCGGGCCCTAGCCTCGCCCTTGCATCTCTGGAAAACTATGTTAAAAGCATCCATCTCGGCAGCCACATCCTTGATGAAGCTGAAGAATGCATTCTTCGTCAACGGGGAGCCGTCGGCGAAAGCGCCAAGGTCCTGGATGTGGGATAGCTGGGAAGAGGTCTGCAAGCTCTTGCTGTATGCCGCCTTCAGCTCCTTGATCGCCTCGGCGGTGCCACTCCAGCTTGTGATCAGAGCCTTGCTTTCGCGAGACAACTTCTCGAGAGCTGAGATGGCCTGCTTGAGCAGCTTCATGCCTTCCTCCGAAAGGCCACCGTCCTCGGCCACCGTGTTGTCCACGGTCTCGAAGTTGAAGTTCCACTTGAGGGTCCGAAAGGCACTCTTCAAGGCATCGAGGTCGCTGTTGGTGATCTTCTTGTGGGCAGACGTCTTGTGAGCATTTTCCTTCCCATCCTCGCTGCCTACCACAAACTTGCAAAAGGCCCAGAAAGCGACGTCACTGCCCTCGCTGGTCACTTTGAAGACCTCGCCCTTCTTCTTTGCCGCATCGAACAGCTTCTCATCCCCATGAAAATATAGCCCGAGCATCAAGCTCTCGGGGATGGCTTCGTCTTCGGTCTTCTTGTACTTGCGATTGTATATCTGATCAGGCATGTGGTGTGATCGGTTGCACGAGCTCAGTGTTAAGGCTAGGTTTTGAGAGGGGTATTATACGAAGGTTAAGGTTTGGGTTGAGGGTCTGGGTTTTGGGACTGAGGGGTTGGGATCTCAAGGCTAGGTGTTGAGAGGGGATTTACATGTGAAGATTAAGCTTTGGGCTGAGGGTTTGGGTTTGGGACGGCTAAACACCATATAGGGGTTGGGGATCTCAAGGCTAGGTTTTGGGAGGTTTGTTTTTTGTGAAGATTAAGATTTGGGTTCAGGGTCTGGGTTTTGGGACGGCTAGATACCATAGGGGTTGGGGATCAAGGCTAGGTTATGAGAGGGGTTTTATATATGCGAAGATTAAGCTTTGGGTTGAGGGTCTGGGTTTTGGGACGGCTAAAAACCATCGGGGTTTGGAATCGTTCCACATAAAACACAGACACAACACTTTCTGCACGGGAAAGCTGGAAAATCGTGGTGATGGGGGGAGGGTGTCCATATCTAGGTGCGAGGTCAGGGTCAACTCTAATCCCATACACCATGGAAGATCCCTGAACCCAAAACCTTGTGTGCAATGCTAAAGCTTGAAGGCTTAAGCCTGACACCCGACAAAACCCAGCCCTAAGGAACCTACACTAGAACAACCCAAAACCTTGAGCAATGCTAAAGCTTAAAGGCTTAAGCCTGACACCCGACAAAACCCAGCCCGGAGGAACCTATACTAGAATAACCCAAAACCTTGCGCAATGCTAAAGCTTAAAGGCTTAAGCCTGACACCCGACAAAACCAAACCCGAACGAACCTATATACCAAAAGTAACAATGCCAAGTCACCTTCTGTGCTTCGACGAATGTCGGATCGGAGAGCTGCAGGCTGAGGCTGCCGTCGCTCTCTTTCTTCTAGAGCTTGTTTATGAGGGCAATCTTAGCCTGCCTCGGGCTCGATGCCTTCTTCGTCTCTTCTTCTATCAAAGCCACTATGTGCGCCGGCAACGAAGCCTTCTGCTTCATATATTTGATCCCTTTTCCTTTGTCTCGCATCTCGGCCTTGTCGGTGGCCTCGGACTTCTCGATGCTGTCATGCAAGGAAACCAAAGCAGACGGACGTTTCATTGCCCCACCCTTTGCCTTGGCCTTTGGTGCGGCCTTTGCCTTGCCCTTTGCTTTGGCCTTTGCTTTGGCAAAGGCCTTCACAACGGCCTTGGCTTTGGCCTTTGCTTTCGCCTTCATGGCCTTCTTGGGAAGGACCGGCTCCTGGTCCTCTGCATCCACCGCAGCATCCTTGAGTTCCTTCTTCGGGGACATCTTAGCACAACGGCAGCTGCTCAGCAACCTAAATGAATGCTCCAATCTGCGGCCGAATCATGTGTCCTGCAACATGCACAATGGAAGTTTAGTGGAAGTTTGATGGAAATTTCTATCAAACTTCTACCCATATCCTATGGAAGTTTGATAGAAGTTCGATGGAAGTTTGCTGGAAGTTTGGTGGAAGTTTGGTGTCATTTTACTATGGTTTATTGACATGCTTCGAGAAATGACACCATGAAACTTCTACTCAAACTTCTACCTGGGGTGTGGAAGTTTAATGGAAGTTTGGTGGAAATTTCAATTAGACTTCCACTTGGGTGTGTGGAAGTTTCGTGGAAATTTCCACCAAACTTCTATCAAACTTGTACTTCTACGGGTTGGGGGTGGCGATCGAGGGCCTCGGGCTGTTAGGGTTCACGGCTCCGGGTTGTTATAGGGTTTAGGGTTTGTGGCTTCGGGTTGTTGGTGTTTAGGGCTTCGCCGGGCTAGGGTGCCCAAAGAACCCCGCACAACGAAACCCTAAGGTGCCAAAGCCCGAGCAACAAAACAAAAACCAAACCCAAAACCCAACAGCCCCAAACACGAACAACCCAAAGCCCAAAACACCACCCGGAACAACTAAATTTCCTAACAGCCCAAAACCTTAAACACAAAACCCTAAAACCTGATATCTCAAAACACAATCCCAAATCCTAAACCCTGTAACAACCCCAAGCCCCAAACCCTACATAAAGACTGACACCAAACCCTATAAGTAACCCTGACGACCCCAAGCCCCAAACCCAAAACAAAAGCCCCAAACCCTAAACCCTAACAACCCCAAACCCTAAACCCTAACAACCCCAAACCCTAAACCCTAACAACCCAAAGCCTTAGACACCAAACCACCACCACCACACCACCACCACCACCACCACCACCACGACCACCACCACTACCGCCACCACCACCACCACCACCAACCCTAAACCCTAACAACCCAAAGCCTTACACACCAAACCCTAAATCCTGATATCCCACAAAACCTTAAAGCCTTAAAGCTCAACCAAAAGCTCGTTTTGAGCCTCTCCCTGGTTTTCATTGAAGTAAAACCAAAACAAGCCGAATCACGAACCTCTACAACTCGACACCCCGAACCCCAACAACCCTCAGCCCTAAAGCCTCAAATAAATACTATAACTAAACCTGAAGCCCTAAACCCTAACAGCCCGAAGCCCTACATCAACCCGGAGCCCCAAACCCTAAACACGAACCCCTAAATCCCTGGACTCCTGTGTGGCCTCTTCGTGCACGGGGCGATCGCTGGACCTGCACCGGGGTTGGGTTTAAGGTCTGGGTTTGGGGTTGTTGAAAAGAAAAGTGTTAAGGGCTTTGGTGTTTTGTTGTGTAATGATAGGATTAGAAGGTCCATTCGGGATACAAAGAGAATACATTGTGGGGTGGGGTTGAGATTTAAGGGCTTAAACTTCGGGGAGGGAGAGCAATTTATGGTGTTGCACCATTCCCCCACAATATGAGCGAACTAGCTGGGGTGGAGGTTTAAGGGTTTAAGCGCTTCGGGGAGGGAGAGCAATGTATATGGTGTTGTACTATACCATTCCCCAATGAAAGAATTATAGCTGAAAACTTACGATGGATTGAAATCTCCGGATGAAAAGATTGTGGCTGTGACATGACGAATTCAATCCTTCTTTAGTTGAATGATGCACAAACACACGATCTCTCTCTCTCTCTCTCTCTTTTCCGGGCCGGCCCACTGCTTAATCCGTCTCGCCATCGGAACCTGCAGAATCCGCCTTCGATGTTGGGCTCAATGACTTCTCTCGCGATGTTGAGCTCGATGACGTCTGTCGCCTCCTTGACCGCGACCTCGAGCTCTTCGATCGCGACGACCTCGACGCTCGACCCCTTCGATCGTGACGACTTTGATCGCCGTTTCTCGGGAGAATCAGTCGCCCCGCTCTCCTCAGGTCCAGTCTGAATCTCCGATTCGGCAGCCTCCCCAGCAGTCTGAATCTCCGATTCGGCAGCCTCCCCAGCAGTTTGAATCTCCGATTCGGCAGCCTCCCCAGCAGTCTGAATCACAGATTCGGCAGCCTCTGCAGTCTGAATCTCCGGCTCTGCAACAGGCTGAATGCCGGAACTACATGCCACAACCCGTCGCATATCCGACATTCGGGGAACAGCTATCTCACATCGCAGCCGGTACTCTGCCAGTCGTGGCTCCTGAGCATCGTGCAATTCTCTGACCAGAAGCTGCTGGTCCTCCTCGCTCTTGACAGAAATAAAAGCACTGCAGGTTGCTCCAGGTCTGTATTGGCCTTTGCGAATGATCTTTATGTGGTGCCAGTCCAGCACAGAATCAGCAGGCAAGATTTGGTTGATCACTGATTGCACCTCCCATGCTGTCACACGAAACCGTAAGCCACCCAGAAAAAGACGAAGGGGAACAGCCATCAGGTTCAGGCTTGCACACTCCTATATAGTTTTCTCCGCATCCTTATATCAGCCCTGCTTACGATCGCACGTGGTTGTGTACAGAACTTTCGTCCAAGATGCAGGGTTCATGCATGTGTGGTGAACAAGTGAAAGTATACAGTATACAGCCAAGCAGATACACATAAAGGTTCAGGGGATGCTTGGGCCATCATGCACATAACAGGATGTGGCGATTCAGAGCAAGGATACCCACACTAAGTTTAGAGATGTGGGGCTGGGTGTTTCCGTATATCAGCCTCCGATATGGCTTCAGAGTGCCAGGGCTTGGGGTACCATAAATATACATACAGCTTGAGGGTGAAGCCTTTCGGTCGTGATACGGTTTTGGACTGGCTCGGGCCTCACAGAGGGGTTTCATAGTTTCGGGTCAAAGGGTTTAGGCTTTTGTTATTTTTTTAGGGTTTGGCGAACTGTTGGGATTTAGGGTTTCATATTCTCGGGTACAAGGGTTTTACGGTTTGGCGATCTCGGGTCATCATAGTCTCGGGTCAAATGGTTTCGGGTGAAGGGTTTGAGGGCTTTTGTTCTTGCCTTTCGGAATAGTCCCTACAACCTACACCCTATAACACCCGAAAGCTGTAGCCACAAAACTTTCTCCCAATAGTTCGCGAAACCCCAAAACAAACCAAAAAGCCTAAACCTGTGGATCCGAGAATACGAAACCCTAGATCCCCAAAGTTCGCCATGCCCCAAAACAATTCAACAAGCCTCAACCCTTTGCTTCCAAAGTGTGAAACCCTAAATGCCCACGCCGGCAAACCCTTTATAACAAAAAACTTGAACCCTGTCGAAACTATATGAAACCCTAAAAGTCCTAGAGACCTCCAAACCCCAACAACCCAAATCTCTGTGCTGGACACACGTGTCGCCTCGTGATGCTTCGTCGCCTCCGCTGCAGCCGCCCCTGCTGCAGCCGCCAAAACCTGTCACATGCATGGGAGGCTTGCGAAAAACTACACGAATATGGGTTTTGGTGTTTGCCAAGAAGCTACAATTGACTGAAGATGTGTGTGGAACCTAACCTAAACCGAAACACTCCCTGAAGTGTTTCCAACCCCAAACCCTATTAAATCTCTATATCAAGCACACAACCGGAAACCTTAATTTAGTCTCTCTCACAGCTTCAAACCTAAAAAAATCCCTGGAGCTCTGGCCTTTAAACCCTGAAACACGGTTCCTGCTGAAGTGTATTCTCAAAACCGG